CATAGCATCGTCAGCTACCTCTGATTGCTCCTCTCCACTGCCTGTCGACTCTCTTTCGCCTGGAGTGTCCTCACCGTCATCTGTGTGGCTGAAAAGACTATGGCGACACGCATAAAATTTGACTTGGCTATGGAGTTGGTTTTTCTGAGGCGACTGAGGAGGCAGGTTTGGCCCTCGACTCTTTGGGCGATCAAAGTTCGTTGGAATCAGCAAGAAAAGGGGCACGGGACAGGACGTTGCTGATGCTGGGGCTCACGAAATGAAAACACATCATTTTCGACTTGCAAAACAAACGTTGGTGCGAAAATTCGACATTTTGATGTTCGACAAATGACCGAAGAACGCTGTACCGAAATTCGGAATGCAAAACCTCTCTAATAAGTAATATCTGAAGTTTCGCCGATCCCTGCACGCGGACGTCTAAATGGCTATACAAGAAATGTGAAACCAGCTTCCGTTCGCGGAGCTAAAACTCGCGACACAAAAACAAAATCAAAAATTGGAAGCTGTACGCCCATGGCGAATTTCAGGAGCAAAAGAATGAGCTGTTGATTGTGGAAATCGGCCGAACGATGCCTGCAGGATACCTTTTTCAAGACGTAGAGGCAGTGTGAACAAACACGGACGAACTCCACAAGAGTTTCCAGTCTTCACTGTCTGAACAAGGATTTGAAAAACGCTGAGAATGGTGCAACGGAGCGATGCGAGCACTGCAAGTATGTCTTCTTGTCAGCGGCTGATAAGCTTCGCCACAACCACCTGAGTCATAGCAGTGAAGGCACTACATCCAGGCAGCAGAAGGAGCATGTATGCTCGTATTTGGATGGTGCTTCTACCATGTCTACTTGTGGCTTAGCCTTCACCACCTACCATGGGCTAATGCAGCACAAGAAGGCTGCTGGCCACAAGTGTTCTCGAGGGCGACCAAAAAAGTCATAATGCTCTCCTTCTCAATTAGACCATATAAATACTGCAAACTTGCCATCTTGGGTTCATATTATTGCCAAAAAGGAAAAAAAAATGAGCATCCAAAAATATTGAATCCATGATCTAGATGTACATGTGCGTCTTCTGGGGGGAGGGGGGGGGGGTCAAGGGAGAGAAGCACCAATATCGTCTCTAAAAAAACATCGATATTTACGGACGGCCCCTTAGTCTTATCATAAGGCATAACTAAACATTTTATACTTGTATATAAAGACGCCTCCGACTACACCCTCAGAACACATACCGGTAACCATGGTAACCCAAGAGTTACATGACATTGTCCCATGTGTAACTCTAAACTCCCCTAGCATAATGAGGGTCGGAACTAGGGACCAGCGGATTCTGCTCGAAAAGGTGGCAGATTCTGCTCGAAAAGCAGTGAAATTGGCAGAACCATACAAACCTTATGGCAGGCAATTCCTCAAATTCTGCTCCATTTCTTTATCCACATACCACACATGCATGAAACTTACCAGAAAAAGTACCGAATTTTGCCAATTTTTCTGCGGGCATAATCCGCCGGCGCCTAGTCAGAACCGGGTTCAACACCCATTATGCAATTTATGGTTCAGATGGTTCCAACGGACCGGGGCTCTGCCAACCGTGGATGGTTGTAGTAAGGTCACTGGTTTCCGAACACAGTGTCCTCCACCTTGTTTCATGCTGTCAAGAGCTAACAACAATGACGTCTAGCTGTAGACGTAGAGAGGCATACAGGTATTGTCACTGAGGTACATGTACATCTACATGAGCACGATGATTGTAGAATTATTCTTCATATGTGTATTTTCACCATAAACCAGTCTCTTGACTTCAGTGCCTGTCACAGCGTCTCTCACAGTAGATCTACGTGCAGTGTCAATGGTTCCCATGGTCACTGGCATCATGGCATGTACCGATATTTATTTTATTTTATTTTTTGTTCTGTTTTACTATTGACACGTATACACACACACATGCACACACACATACACGCACACACACACACGCACGCGCGCGCACACACACACACGCACACACACACACACACACACACACACACACACACACACACACACACACACACACATACCTTGGAAAGTGTTGTGAGTATGGGTATTAAACGTGGATGTATGGGTAAGGTGGATGTATGGGTATAGTGGATGTATGGGTATAGTGGATGTATGGGTAAAGTGGATGTATGGGTATAGTGGATGTATGGGTAAAGTGGATGTATGGGTATAGTGGATGTATGGGTATAGTGGATGTATGGGTATAGTGGATGTATGGGTAAAGTGGATGTATGGGTAAAGTGGATGTATGGGTATAGTGGATGTATGGGTATAGTGGATGTATGGGTATAGTGGATGTATGGGTATAGTGGATGTATGGGTATAGTGGATGTATGGGTATAGTGGATGTATGGGTATAGTGGATGTATGGGTATAGTGGATGTATGGGTATAGTGGATGTATGGGTAAAGTGGATGTATGGGTAAAGTGGATGTATGGGTATAGTGGATGTATGGGTAAAGTGGATGTATGGGTATAGTGGATGTATGGGTATAGTGGATGTATGGGTAAAGTGGATGTATGGGTATAGTGGATGTATGGGTAAAGTGGATGTATGGGTAAAGTGGATGTATGGGTAAAGTGGATGTATGGGTATAGTGGATGTATGGGTAAAGTGGATGTATGGGTATAGTGGATGTATGGGTAAAGTGGATATATGGGTAAAGTGGATGTATGGGTATAGTGGATGTATGGGTATAGTGGATGTATGGGTATAGTGGATGTATGGGTATAGTGGATGTATCGGTAAAGTGGATGTATGGGTATAGTGGATGTATGGGTATAGTGGATGTATGGGTATAGTGGATGTATGGGTATAGTGGATGTATGGGTATAGTGGATGTATGGGTATAGTGGATGTATGGGTATAGTGGATGTATGGGTATAGTGGATGTATGGGTATAGTGGATGTATGGGTATAGTGGATTTATGGGTATAGTGGATGTATGGGTAAAGTGGATGTATGGGTATAGTGGATGTATGGGTATAGTGGATGTATGGGTATAGTGGATGTATGGGTAAAGTGGATGTATGGGTATAGTGGATGTATGGGTAAAGTGGATGTATGGGTAAAGTCAAGAGTAGATAAACAAGAGTGTGCAACTCCGGATCTCTCCTGCACAATCTGCAGATACACGGAGGAATTTTTGTTTACGTCACCTTTTTTCAGAGAAACGCTGCTTTGCCGCAGAGCAGTGTGAGAGCACGTGCTGGGCACCGACCTTGTAGTGTAAAGCCCAGCCAATTGCACGAGGGAAAACTCTCCAAAAGGCTCGCAGCGCGTGCGTCGTCGAAAAGATTACGTCAACAAAAAATTCCGCCGTGGGCCAACCCATCCGCGAGTTGCACACTCTTGTTTATCTACTCTTGGTAAAGTGTATGTATGGGTATAGTGGATGTATGGGTAAAGTGGATGTATGGGCAAAGTGGATGTATGGGTATAGTGGATGTATGGGTAAAGTGGATGTATGGGTATAGTGGATGTATGGGTAAAGTGGATGTATGGGTATAGTGGATGTATGGGTATAGTGGATGTATGGGTATAGTGGATGTATGGGTAAAGTGGATGTATGGGTAAAGTGGATGTATGGGTATAGTGGATGTATGGGTATAGTGGATGTATGGGTATAGTGGATGTATGGGTATAGTGGATGTATGGGTATAGTGGATGTATGGGTAAAGTGGATGTATGGGTATAGTGGATGTATGGGTAAAGTGGATGTATGGGTATAGTGGATGTATGGGTATAGTGGATGTATGGGTATAGTGGATGTATGGGTATAGTGGATGTATGGGTATAGTGGATGTATGGGTAAAGTGGATGTATGGGTATAGTGGATGTATGGGTATAGTGGATGTATGGGTATAGTGGATGTATGGGTAAAGTGGATGTATGGGTAAAACGGATGTATGGGTATAGTGGATGTATGGGTATGGTGGATGTATGGGTAAAGTGGATGTATGGGTATAGTGGATGTATGGGTAAAGTGGATGTATGGGTATAGTGGATGTATGGGTATAGTGGATGTATGGGTATAGTGGATGTATGGGTAAAGTGGATGTATGGGTATAGTGGATGTATGGGTATAGTGGATGTATGGGTATGGTGGATGTATGGGTAAAGTGGATGTATGGGTATAGTGGATGTATGGGTAAAGTGGATGTATGGGTATAGTGGATGTATGGGTATAGTGGATGTATGGGTATAGTGGATGTATGGGTATAGTGGATGTATGGGTATAGTGGATGTATGGGTAAAGTGGATGTACATGTATGGGTAAAGTGGATGTATGGGTAAAGTGGATGTATGGGTATAGTGGATGTATGGGTATAGTGGATGTATGGGTATAGTGGATATATGGGTATAGTGGATGTATGGGTAAAGTGGATGTATGGGTAAAGTGGATGTATGGGTATAGTGGATGTATGGGTATAGTGGATGTATGGGTATAGTGGATGTATGGGTATAGTGGATGTATGGGTATAGTGGATGTATGGGTATAGTGGATGTATGGGTATAGTGGATGTATGGGTATAGTGGATGTATGGGTATAGTGGATGTATGGGTATAGTGGATGTATGGGTATAGTGGATGTATGGGTATAGTGGATGTATGGACTTTGTGGATGGCTGCAATACAGTGGAGTCATCGCGTAGTGAGAGCTGCACAGTGCTGCTCAATGAAATCCAGGCGCGTCACTCCAGCTTGCGCCTTGCACCATTTCGCAGCCCAGTGTTCGCAGGTCAGGGGGGGGGGGGGGTGTTGCACAACGGTCGGCACGGACATGTACTTGAGTTGAGCAACGTGGCTGGATTTCATTGATCAGCACTGCACACATATACCTAGGCAACATGAGAGAGGTTACCATGGTTACTGTGTTACTTCAGAGAACACAGGGTTTGTTGTAACTTGTTGGAATTGCATACTCATAGTCATACGGTACGCGCCCTCGCTAGTGGCAATACCGTTAATACCCTCGAATGCAGCAGTGGCAATACCGTTAATACCCTCGAATGCGGCAAATCATGGTAGCAGTAGTTTTAAAACAAGCCACTGCTTGTTAGTACAGAGAGCACGCCGAAATCATAATATACTAGCTTACTGATAGACGTTACGCGATGACATCATCATTAGGTATGCAATTACGTCATCATTGGGTATGCAATTACGTCATCATTTGGGATGCTTTCCCTGTATGGAGTGGCAATGCCGTACAGGAGCAGTGCGATGTTGCTGCTTTGCCACAGTGACATGGCTGCTACTTTCGTAACACTGTTTGTTCCGTTTGCCACTTAATACAAACTGTTTGCTGTTCAAATCTCAATATAAACTGTTTACTACTCAATTCAAAACCAGCACTGGTTTCCACAGCATGTCCTCCATACAAAGCACATGGGATGACGTCATGCACTCCATACAAAAGCACATGTGATGACATCACTCACGAAACCTGTAGATAACCAGCACCAGCAGCAGAGCGTACGGGTATCAGCAAAACAGAACAGGAACGTACGACTAAAATTGATTGTACTTGACAAATTGCTTGACAGAGTCTACTTGGGTGTCAGAAATACGTCCATTGATCTGCAGTACAGCCATCACCTCGGCAACAGTGAAGATACTGTGCATGCGTACGCCAGTGTCCAGTAGCTTTTGTCGGCCACCCTGCTGTCGGCCCAACAGAACTGCGGCGTCAGCTTTCGCTAAGCTGCGGTGATCAGCTGAAGTGAAGGGTGTGCTAACTCACACCAGCGTGTGTTGAGTCTTGATGCGAGATTGAAACTGGCGACGACTTGGTGACTTTTCGCCGTCACTGCTCATCCGCAGTTCTCTGCTTGGAATGTTGCAAAGTAGAGTCAGAACGCTGTGTGATGTTCACAAGTGCGCTGTCGAGTCTGAGAAAAGGGAAGAGAGAATACAAATCATTTACCAGTACAATCGTGTTTCGAACCAAATGTTCCACGGATCATGGCAGTGGTGTAGGAATCGGGGCGGGGGGGGGGGGGGGGTAGGGGCAAGGGGGGAGCCAGCCGCCCCGCCCCCCCCCCCCTCCCCTAACCTTTTGGTGGATGTGGGGCCAAAGGCCCTAAACTTGATGAACACGCAAGTGAGGATCATGCATGCAGTGCAGATCAGTCAGTGGTCATGCACTCAGATCAATCGTAGTCAGAGCTGACCCTGCAGTCATTCATGTACATGTATGTACATAATCATTTCTCTGTCCACCCTGCACTCCACTCGTTTCGCACACATCCGCACATTCACTCATACGTGTACACCACTATTGAACACGTCCATATTGCCAGTGGGGGCCACCACAGCACATCGCCCCAACTTATCGTCTTTGCACACAGTTCCGTGGTCATGACTATACAAAACCATTGCCTAGTCCAACAAAAAACTCCCAACACGTTAGACCATTAGGCCACACGTTTTTATTTCTATGTTTCTCGTCACCCGCGCGCATACGATTCAGGAGTCTGGAGGAAAAAATAAAAACATGTGCTGCACTGACCGTGCATGTGGGGACCAGCACACTCATGCACATGGACATAATGTGGCCTGGCCTGCGCGACACATGATACGAGGTCGCCATTTTTTGTGCGCAATCTAGCTGCACATGCACAGATTGTGACAGAAGCTCCTACCACATACTAGGTGTTAACTATGGATGCTATTTTGCAGGGTGTATTTGTGGATTTTAGTGTCAACAAAGGTCTAATAAACTTTTTTTTAATTTTTCGGTCATTTTAATTTTTTCCACCTCTCGCATACGTTTTTAGTTTTTCAGGTGACGAGAAACATAGAAATAAAAACGTGTGGCCTTATGCATCCACACAACTCTAGAAGAATATAAGCGATGATATATAATCTGAAATTACATGATGATTACTGGGGTGGGTGGGTGGGCACTCTCACTCAACTCTCCGCACAAAGACAAAAGAGGCCGACCCTGGACTCGTCACCTCCATTTATCCCACACCGTGCTCCCTCATACCCGTTCCCGGGTGGACAGAGAACACTACTTTTCTGCTAATTCTTATACTGTGACGTCATCCGCAGAGAAGCGACATCACTACAGTGCATTTCAAAACTATAGACGCGTAGGGTTTTTGAAATATTTCAAATTTGGCTGGAACTTTTTGAGAATAGTTTTCGGAATATTGCTCAGGATCGCTCCACAATTACTCTCATATAGTTTCTAAAGGATTGGATAACAGACGCCCAATTTGGAAAAATTTATGCACAAAGTGATCACAGATTTTATGTGGTATAGATGCTGGCATAACGGTTTTTGCCTAGGTACGCGTCTATAGTTTTGAAATGGACTGTACAGTCATAAGTCTCCACTTTTTCAGATCTAAAAGAATGTGCGTGTCACCGGCGTGAAGCACACTCACTAGATCATCCCTTGGTTGTTTTTGCATCGTAGCAGCTAATGAAGCGTTGTTTTTCATGGGCAGTTTTCTTCAAAATCGGAAAGGCAAGAGTACTTTCCTTTAGTCAGAGTCAGTGCTTCTCATTGCTATACCACAGCGTTCTGAAGAAAGTCACTTTCCAGAAAAAAAATTCGTGACTGACTGTTATAAGCACAGTAGTTCTCGGAGAGCGAAGATTTCTAGATACGACCACCAAACTCTTGGGCGGTGGTCATAAATTTCAACATTTTCATTAGAAACTGAGCCCGATCGAGGCTTGCAGCCATAATTCAATTACCTCCTAAAGATTTCACCAGGGTCACATTAGTCATTGTGGAAAATCCGTTATCAGTGGAGCGTACTACATTGCAATACTTCTTATCACTGACAGGAGAAGATTCCTTCAAGAGTCCGAGGTTCTTGTTTGCAATAGCCAAAATCAGGGAAGTCTTGAACATCAGCTTACAAGTATCTCTCTGCCTTTGCCAGTAAGTTTTGCTTTATGGTCGACTCTCTTTCACCATTACGGATGTACCGGTATTACGCTTTCCGGTAAATTTCCCTTTGGACTTTGGCCAGGCTGTCAGTCAGAGCTACATATCCAGTGGTGGCTGTGTGCAATCCCTGGTGTTCAACGTACATGTACATCTACATGTACAGCATTTTCATTATTCTTGTCCAGATTCCAGTAGTAGTGCAGTACTCGGTTTTCACGATTGCTCCACACACAGTCATATTATGTACATGTCTAGTGCAGTGCAGCACCTATATCATGATGTGTTGTCACATACTTTTACACAAGCATACAAATCTCCGTAGAAGGATTACCGGTACACAGGTACATACGCACAATAGGTACTAGCATAGCCCAACATACATCAAGGTCATTGCCAGCAAGTCAGCCCCCCCCCCCCCAAACCAAAACATCTTCATACGCCACTGCATGGATGAGTCGGTCCCCGGCTCCATGTACTAACCTTCACACTCGTCTCCACTCAACACTGCAGTATACTGATACAGGTAATCAACTTTGACAGCGTGTGGAGGAAGAACAACGAGTCTAGAATCTACTCCAGGTCATGTAGAAGACTAAACTTCATTCAAGGTAGTTAGTTCGATTTGATCCGCTAGCACTGTCCAAAAGACTCGCAGTGTCCGCTAAACTCGTATATGGACAGTCGAACTAATGCCTGAAGTATTGGTGAGCGATGGTCTGCGCAACGAAAGTTAGTTACACTTACAAAGTACGCGTTCAAAGTTTCAAACAGTGACTGGCCTTCTACTTGACGATTGGACCAAGACAGGAACCAAGACAGAAAACTAAAAAAAACTATCTCGAACCAGCTCCAAGGCAAAGGCAAAGGCTTCACGTCCGTGACAACAGTGAGTAATCAACGAGTGAATCCACCACCGGGCACCGACACTGGGCATGGGCGACAGTCCAAGTGGGCTGTGCTGGAGTCTGATCAACATGATCAAGCGCCACGGAAAAATTATACAGTACGTCCTACGTCACCATGGTCACGGTTCCTTCGATGCGCATAGCAACGGTGCATGCACACTGTACTAAAAATCGCAAAAGAAATCGTCCTCTCCACAGAACCAGTTGCCAGTGGCAACACATGCAAGTCGCATACGCGCGTCGCATGCATGCACTTGACTTTGATTCTTCTTTGTTGTTTTCAGTGTTTTCTCTTTCTCATTGATCTCGACAGTGTTGTGGTGCTCGTTATCTTACTGAGACATCTCTTGTGACCGTGGTCAGTGTCACCAACGGCGCAACGCGGCGGAGCGCCGGGATCGAGCGTGGAAAAACGCTCTGCATTAGCAGCTCCTGTAGTGAAAAATGTTTTCTGCGATGGCACGTCCAAAGTCAACAGAGCCAAGGTGCAAGCGAGCATGAGAGATTTCGTATAGGATGTGAGCTCAAGACGGTAAGCTGCTGAAAAAGTGGAAAGATGCGTGTATTTACAAACTCACTCCCTCTCTCTTCAATGAACACTTCATCCATTGATTGCCGCTATGCATTTCGTGTTGTGGTCACAGATAATGTGGGCAAATGTAAAACTACCAACTGGAGTGTGCTCTGGTGTTAGGGACGTGTCCCAAAGTGTCATCACATGGCTGTGGAGACTAGTACACACATGGAGGAATATTTCTACAACAGTGATACGGAGTGATATGGAGAACAGATGGATGGATAGAAAAGAAAACTGAGATGATGGGAAGTAAGTACATGTCATGTAAGTTGATTGTGTGGAAGAAATTTGAAATAAGATAGAAAAAAAGGTTCACTCAAACATACATGTAACATCCTGATTAGTATTCCGTCTTCATTTTTCCAGTTAGTGGCGCTCCACACGCTCCGATTACCTGGTGTATGTGTGTGTGTGTGTGTGTGTGTGTGTGTGTGTATGTGGGTACTCCAGTCTCCCCGGAGGTGTGGGTTCGAATCCCACCGCTGCCACCAGTGTTAGCTGCTCCCGGCTAATGAAGTCCCCACACCAAAACACAAGAGTTTTATAGTATTGAATTATGCAAGTACAAGAGTGTAGACAAGAAGGAGAACAGGACAACGACAACTCAAGACTAGTGCCAGCTAGTTCGGTTGGTAGGTACACTTATGCCTGATTGTGTTGGGTCTGTTGCCAACAGGCTCGGCTGCTTGAAGGTGTAATGTTGTACCTGCCACCTTTGTTGGTTCCAGGGTTCATATACAGTGAAGCTTGGTTATAACGACACCTGAGATGGAACGCCAAAAAAGTCCTTATTTGCGATCTGTCACTATATCCGATCTTGGGATTTCCAACACAATATGCACACCAAAACGCGGCAAAATCAATTTTCTGCACAATGGTGCTTTTTTCAACTGAACACAAGGAGCGCTTCGTCCAACCCAGGAAAACTCGACTGCCTAGAGCTCTTGGCATCCATTGACGTTGCTTTCTTCACTTTGGCCACAATCTCCTCTCGCTTCTTGATGAAGCCAGCGAGAGTACTGTGCGCGACTCCATACTTTTCTTGAATGAATGACCGCTTTGCACCTTTGTCCAGCTCCTGCAGAATGGCGTACTTTTCCGCGTAGGAGAAGCGCTTTCGCAACAGAGACAGGGCGAGATATCTCGAACTTCCAAGTCTTTGTGTCGTCACGGGTTTGAGAACCGTGAACGAACTGCCTCCACGCTCCTCGCCACGCCACACAACAAAGGACCAGCACAAATTGTTAGAGAGCTTTTTCTTCTACTTTGCTTCAGTAGGCGATGGAGAACTCATAAAGAAGAACCAACACTGACAACGAACGACGGACGACTGACACTGAGACAAGACGAGACAACAGAATATATTATAGTGAAGGCGTACTACGGGGACAAGACGAGCAAGTGTGTACCAACGGGGACAGAAGACGGTGCAGCCGCATGTACGCAGGAGTCGAAAACAGCGCAGCAGCATGTACCACGACTCAGCAGCATGTACAACAAAGAGACACAAAAGCAGCCACATGTACGACAAAGAGCTACACGTGCAACCGCATGTACTACGAAGAGACACAAGCGCAGCCACATGTACAACACTATCCCCCACCAAAAAAAAGACATCCGCTCCTGTGGATGGAAGTGTATATATATTTAAAAAAACAGAAGAAGACAGACCGGAGAAGAAGACAGAAAGACAGGACAAATGAAATGTGGAGCAACATAAACAGGCGACAATAAAACAGAAAAGAAGTGGGGCCACAACTGTTGAATGCATGACGAGTAGGCCAGGAGGGTTAACACCAGTCGGGAGCCCCGCAAAACTGTGCATCAATCAAACGGAACCTGCAAGCAACAGATTTTGCAGAGGACCCCGACTGGCGAGCTGCTCGACCTGTAGTTGTCCCTTTGGATCTTGATTATTTGAACAGCACCAACCTAGTACGCAACTGAGAAAGTGATTTCTCGGAGAAAGAAGCATGGCGAATGTTGCGAAAATTCGTCGCAGAAGATACGGAAGGTACGGAGGGTAAGTGCGCACTACACCTGTACACAGTACACGTATTTTACCGTTAGTGCGACATGTCGACACTCCTTCAAATTCCGGGCGTGTACGAGTGTGCAGTGCAGTGCAGTGTACAGTCGATGTACACTAGACCGCACTGTACGATCTTGTGCACCCGGCCCGCGGCAGCTGTGAAAGCCAGGATCGATCGTACACCGTACGTCGCAGTCGTGAGAATGTCGTTATTTTGACCCATTTTCACACTACGGTGCATGACAATTTGGTCGTTATTCTCGATTTGTCGTTATTCGAGTTGTCGTTGCAACCGATCTTTTTTGTACACAAATCAATACAAAATTGCTGCTGCCATGGAATTTTTGTCGTTGTAGCTGATCTGTCGTTATAACCAAGCTTCTCTGTACTTTCTATTTGAAGTATACATACCTGGACTGCTTCTGGCCAGATTAACTCTTGTGTAATCAATGGTGCTAGTGAAGCTTATATCAGATCCACTCTGATTTAGCCACCCACACTAGTAGCAAGTATTACCTTCACTGGGGGCAGGGGTAACTGCAGTTGGATCCTGGGACGGATACCCTGATTCCGTCAATCCTTTTTCTGCAAATTGTCCTCGCCCATTTACTGAGGTGTGGTGAGCTCATAAGTGGGATCATTTTCAAGTCCACCCAGAGTTTAGGAGATTTCAGAGGGTTTCAGCCATTGGGCGGTTCAATAGCCGATAGAGTCATCTTTCCAAGATTCCTTTTGAGTCTCTCTCCCCTCTCCCGGGGTGACCCAGTTTTGGCAGTGAGCAACAAGTACAAGTGTGTGTGTGTATGTATGTGTGTGTGTGTGCGTGTGCTTGCGTCCATAGCGCTTCCAAAGACCCTTGGAGTGCCTGAGGACATTGGTCACATCGTACGGGAGCGACGTTTGCGCTGGCTTGGACACGTGACACGGATGGAAGATCACAGGTTGCCCAAGTGTGTTCTCTTCGGTGAACTGCCTGCCCCGCGTCCCGCGCATGGTCCAGGCAAGAGGTGGAGGGACGTCATTATGGATGACGTTTCGTCGGTTGAGCCACCGGTACCAACATGTTGATGGTACGGTGCAGCCCAGAACAGTCCGGAGTGGCGTACCATTGCCCGTCGACCACCCAAGGCACCCTCTGCTGCTGGCTACGGTTGCGCCTGCGGCCGCATGTTCCGTCGAAGCGGCGACCTGAAACGCCATCAGTCGTTCTGTTGTGGACTGGAGAAATAACTATGCGCTATCATTGCTACGCAATGGGCAAGGTCAAGGTGTGTGTGTGTACAGCATGTGTGTGTGTGTACAGTATGTGTGTGTGTGTATGTGTGTGTGTGTGTGTGTACAGTGTGTGTGTGTGTGTGTGTGTGTGTGTGTGTGTGTGTGTGTGTGTATAGTATGTGTGTATGTGTGTGTGTGTGTGTGTGTGTGTTTGCACAGTATATGTGTGTGTGTATTGTGTGCCACGAACCTTTCTGCCGGATGCTGCCATATTAGTCCTTTTCTCTATCATTGCCTCTGGCAATGGGAAAGTTCAATGTTCAAGTATGTGTGTGTGTAAAGTCATGCACACACTCTCGTGTGTGGTTGAGTTGGCTAGACAAAGTGACCGTGCATGGGCACGAGGTTTCCGTCATGTCGATGGTATTGGAATTACGTACCGTGCGTATTTTCTGGAGACAACGCCGCACTTTGAACACTCAAAATTCACCCAAAAGAATGGCTTATATTCCAATGACCAAAATGACAGTGATCATCAAATAGATGTCTGTATTTCATGGCAAAAAAATGTGGGGGGGGGGGGGGGGGAGGGGGTGCGGCTTATACTCGGGAAAATACGGTACTGTATGACTTGTAATGTAAAATATAAATTTCTCTTAGCCTTGTTAGTGGAATTTGTGTCATTGCTCAGTGGGTATGGGTTGCAACGCCTTGTTGATTATTTTGTAGGAACAACAAGTTACGCTATAATGTCCACTAACACCACCAGTTACTTGACAATCAGCTCATGCATGTTGAATCTTTAGAGCCACACAAGTTGTGTGCTATGTTGCTATGCGTCCTTGACTCTTGGTTTGACCGTACTGTCCAATGGTCTTGCCAGTATCGTCATGGACATGCATGTACATCGGCCTTCACAGCTAAGACTTTCAGCTTGTGCTTGTCTTGGTTGTGCTCACCTTCCCCTCCTAAGTTATCATATAACTACAAGTAAGAACATTCCAAGTTGGAAGGCTGTTGGAGTGCGCATCCAAGACTTGCTAGAGCTGATAGCCAGTTAGTTGTAGAAGGTCAGTACCGTCGGTCAGTGCCGTGCAATGTTATCGCATGAGTTGATTGTCATGTGACACAGGGGTGTTGGACACGCTACGGTCATTACGCTATTGACCGTATCACTGTTTGCCCCCAGGTACCACCCCGTGAACCAATAAAATAAACTGATTTGGACTCTAAATTTCCAGAATTTCGACTCAGTCACCCCTCCACCACGAGTAACTTGTACTTCAGATGGCTGACCTTACCACACTACAATACCTTCAGATGGCCCTGTAACTGATGGTGTTGGTGGACTTTATAGCGCAACTTGTAGTTCCTTGGTGCTTTTTGTGTTTTCTTGGTTTAGGCGACAGTTTCATTTCTGTATTCTGTAGTGATTGGCCTGTGGAAACAATGATCCAAGTGGATGTCATTGTGTTCTATGTATGTGCCTTTTCCAACAGGTTCAAGGCAAGATGCACGCCATGAAGCATTCGGCCCGTGATCTCAGTGTCTGGTAGCTTATGTAGCCGTGGTTGTATGGGTGATCAAAGATGATACTCTGCATATCAATGTAAGTGTGAAGTATTTGTGCTCTGCCCATACAACACAGCAACAACGACAGAGTTACATAGCCAGTGGCTGGCAATGGTGAAGTTATCATATGAATATGTGTTAGTATTCCTGACCTATTGTAAGCAAGTAAGCTCATCATTACTACAAGACTAATAGTATTACTAGCAGCAGACATGACGTCATTCTCCTGTTTACATACCTGTAATATCTGTATGTACAGCTGCAGCAGCAGTGGGTACCATGGCAACACAGTACACACTTTATCTCCCTCCCATGTTCAGTTTTACTGCTCTGCACACACCATCGTGGTGTGGTTGGCGTGTGTTGTGTGTGTTTCGTTCTCAGCATCTTCAGCATAGTACACGTAGTGAATCATGTACCGGGTTACTTTCCATCGCCTGCTGCCTCCGCCGCCGTTTACGTATCATTTTTATTGAGATGACGTGAGTTTACCGTGATCAGTGATTTCCCCGTCACCCCGGCTTGCCTGCTGTCATACTGAAAGCTATCCAATCTATTGAATCTATCCTTTTTGTTCTTGCCTGCAACAGCAATCAACACTCTACCATCTATTTACTGTTGTTTTGTACGTCGCTGGACGTTTGAGCCAGCTACACTGCACTCGTGTGTGTATATGTGTACGGTCTGTCTGAATATCTATAGTCACATGACCAGTGCATGGTTACATCATCAAGAGTACACACAGCTGTACTGTGGGGTGCTGAAGAACGGTTGGGTTAGGTGAAAAACGGACATGCAGGCTGGAATTTCACCCTGGCACAGCATACCAATGTATAGACAGTAACTCAACTGTGCATAAACCATAGCACATGAAAATAGGAATGGTCTAGGCTACTACCAGGCTGACCCCCCAGTTCTTTCTAACCCAACAGTACAGTGTAAGTTTGACATCATCTACATGCAGTAGATATCCGCAAAGTTACATGGTGCAATGTACTATGTGTACTGGGGGTAATAAAATAATGACCTCTCTGGAATGGTGCACTCTATTGGGGGTAATACTGCCCTCTCTGGAATGGTGCCCTCTACTGGGGGTAATAATGCCCTCTCTGGAATGGTGCCCCGGTGTGCAGTGCAGACCGTGACTGCATGCTTGAGATCAAGGAAATGCATTACAACTTTATCATGTGTGATGAGGTGATGCAGCAAGGCCGCAAATGCAGTGTGGACTGAGAGCACTGGAGTTACCGCACGTCTGGTCACAGCAAGACTAGCTAAACTCTTGGTCACAGTCATTGGGACCAGCACAGTATTGTAAAACCGGAAAAGTCTAACGAGTCACAAAGTCTAACGTTTTAACGACCAATTTTTAAAATTGATTTTTCGTTATTTGAAAAAACGTTATCGCTAGATGTCTGTGTAAAGATGCGCATACAGATGGGCAGCCAGGTAGCCATCGTTTCGCTTTCTGCACGTAATCATGCCAAAATTACAAAAAAGTTAAACTTTTCGGTGGTTAAACTTTCCGGTTTTACAGTACCGGCTACAGGTGATCAAGAGTAGAATCAGCAAACTTACCACCAGCAAAAATGAATGTATTTCATTAAATGGTGGCATTGGTGTCAATATTGACAAACACGTACATCAGCAATCGACTATCAGAGCAGAAGCAGAAGAGCAGTGAACACCATCAGTATAATTATACTGTATATACATATCTATAAGACTATTGTACAGTGTACTCAGCACTTGCTGGTGACAATAACCACATCAACAAAACCAAGAGAAGAATCGTGACGGAGAGCTACGTAGTGTGCAACAGTATGAACAGAAGTATTGTCTGCAACATCAGCAGTTGCACTACCAGTAACATCATGTATTCTTGTGTGTATACTTGACTGAGGAATTATATCCGTAAATCCTAGAATAACCAGAAGACTGATGATTGAACTGTTTCTTCAGCAGAGTCATGCATGCTACACAATACAATCATTGAAAACAGTACACACACAAATTACATTCTACTCAAGTGAATTCAATACTCAGTGTGATGTGTGCTGCACGCCTACACACATGCACACACATACACACACACACACACACACACACACACACAAACACACACACACACACACACACACACACACACCATTCTGGAAGTTGTGCAATCATTGACTGTTGGTTGGTAGATCAAACTTGAACATTACGTCAGCTCTGTACTTGCCTACTCCTTCAGCAACGGCTGGAAGTGATAGAAAGTTTTTAAAGAAGACATTATACATGCATGCACACACACACACACACACACACACACACACACACACACACACACACACGCACACACACACACACGATGCACACAAAGATGCATGCACAACCACACGTACGCACACACACACACACACACACATGCACACAAATCGCACAAAAATGTTGGCCTTCTGGAAAGACAGGCAGTTCGTAGGCAGTACGGTCATTCTCGTATACAAATTCAACACACAAAGAAATGACCTGCATATAGAAAATAGAAAAGAAAAAGGACCAAGGAACTACAAGTTACGCTATGATATCCACTAACACCACCATTAACCCAGGCCCACGTGTAAACACCCAGGTCTCCGGGCATACCTCTGCATATGCACATGCGCAAGCGCATGCGCACGCACACACACACATTCATGTACACAAACATAATTGCAGACACTCCAACGCCCCGTCTGTGCGTACAACGACGTACTCGCGCACGCACTCACAAGCGATCAGCACATAAGTTGGGAGTTGCCATGACTTCATTTTGATTACTTCAGCAAAGTGATGATAGACCAGTTCCAAGAAAGCAAACGAAATTATTTGCGTCATATCATCACATTCGGTCGTCAGTAGTTCACACTGCCCACCGGGGGCAGACGCACGAACGGCCCACCATCATAATTATTGTATGTGTGTGGTGTGACGCCTCATGCCAGGCAGTTGTGTGAGTTCTTGGCGTCGGTGGTCGTTTGTTTGCCCTCGCTGGGCAGTATGAGGTCGGCCCTAGCGGGCAGTATGCTTTTGCCCTTGGTGGGCAGGTTGTCGGCCTCGGTGGCTGTTCGTTTGCTCAATAGGCAGTATGATTGAGCCCTCGGTGGGCAGTATGATTGAGCCCTCGGTGGGTACTACGCTTTATCCCTTGGCGGGAAGTTTGCTGTAGCCCTCGGGGACAGGCTATTGACCTTGACGGCCGTTGTGCACCCTTGGTTGGGTGGTATGCTTTAGCATTCAGTAGGCAGGTTTCAGGCCTCGGCGGCCGTTCGTGCGCCCTCGGTTGGGCTATAATCATGCGCCCTCGGTGGTGCTATGATCATGCGCCTTCGGTCGGGCTATAATCATGCGCCCTCGGTCGGGCTATAATCATGCGCTCTCGGTCGGGCTATAATCATGCGCCCTCGGTTGGGCTATAATCATGCGCTCTCGGTCGGGCTATAATCATGCGCTCTCGGTCGGGCTATAATCATGCGCTCTCGGTCGGGCTATAATCATGCGCTCTCGGTCGGGCTATAATCATGCGCCCTCGGTCGGGCTTTAATCATGCGCTCTCGGTCGGGCTATAATCATGCGCTCTCGGTCGGGCTATAATCATGCGCTCTCGATCGGGCTATAATCATGCGCTCTCGGTCGGGCTA